GCGTTTATTTTCGTTTATTTATATCATTTTCTTGCATTAAATAAATTCGTGGAAGTAAATAATCACCGTTGAAAGGCTCAATATTAATAGGAAAAAGTTGGAGTCTATCGAGTTTTCTCATTAGTCAAGTCACCTGACATCGTGTTCCTTCCATTCGAATAATTCACCACCTTTTTTTTCATTTGGTAAAAAAGATGTTCGATATTTCGCGTAAAACGTAAAGACGCAAAAGGAAGAAATAAGGAAAACAGAGAGGAAATAGGAACGACAGATGGCAAAGTTGGCGTAAAAACAACCACGGTTCCAAATCCCCTGCTCATTAAAAATCGACAACGGATCAGTAATCGAAGCGTGGCAAGATGCTTTGTCACGTTATTAAGCCAATTTATCGGAAGTAATCAAATCACGGATGAAATCAAGCCGATGATTGAAAACAGATACTAATCGTGGCCAACGAACCCCAATCTCATCGGCATTCATTTTCCACTTGGAGCTTTCAAACTTATTGATCAATAACCATCCGCACTTGCAAGATGTTCATATTGTGTGTTATGCGAGGAAAATATTCTTTCAGATTTTATTACAAGATGAATTATTTTAAATAAAACATTATTGGATTTGTAGCGGCACATGAGTTAGAGGACAATTCGAATCATGTTGTTGTTTTGCCTCGGAGTATCAAGATTTCCGACTTCCCCCCGACCAGTATAAATAAACGGACGCGATCGCAAGCAATAGAGTACACACTGAGTATCTGATAGTATCATCGAGTATCTCCGAGTATCACGAGCGATCTACCGAGTTACGTGACGTATTTGTACTTTGTATTAACGACTCAGCGATTAATGGCTGTACATTAATTTATTATTTTAAATATATTCGACGATTTCGACTACGAGCAATCTCGCCCTTTAAACCTCACGTACCAGCCATCCTCTACACACGAACCTCCACAGATTATTATCATAAATAAAATAATTGTTTTTACAAAGCCTGAAGAAATACGACTCTGTTTTGTCAATGTGCGACTATTCGGAGAAGCTGTTCAGTTGAAGGTTTTTCTGAAATTGTGCGTAAGGTTATGGTGTGTTGGTTGAGCGTAATGTTGAAAGCTGGTGATGAGGTATGTGGCCGATGTTGTGTGGCTAATGTTGACGCGATTTCACGCTCAATTTGTCAAGAGAATAGAATTTTTTCGATTAATTCCCGAGGCATCCTCGGGATATATATATAAAAAAGCAGCCTCTTAGCTACCTGAATTACAATGCAGCGGTCAATTAGGGAAAAGGTCTTAAGGGCAACGAACCTTAGCGATAGCGGAGAAGTGTGACGGTGGCCAGTTCATAAGGAGGCCAGGATCTCAATTGCGAGACGTAATGTAATACAAGTCTCAATGTTCTCTTTCTTTTTCTTTTTTGCTCTTCCTAAAAGTAAAAAGTAAAATTCACAGGCAAGAAATATGAATTCTGTTGAAATGGAATGTAATGAAATTGGTAGATTGGAAAGAGTGACGAGAAAGGGAAACATCAAAATCGTGTCACTATATTTCATATTTTTGGAAATCTGGTCAAAACTATCCAAGTACTCGCGTTCCTAAAGTTTATCCCCAACCTTTCTCTACACTCTGCATATGTACACTGTTATTTTTTCAACGAAGAACGCAACGCTATTGTTTTTATTAATATACACGGTCGTTGTGTACACGTGTACACGTTATATACAGGTATTTATTTTTTCGAGTGAACATTCGGTCAACGAAATTTTTTAACACGTTTCTAAAACGTATCTATTGACATTTCCTTGGTACATATTAAAAAATCACTCAATTGTTATCGATAACATTTTTCCCTTACGTAACCCTCGTTAAACTCGAGTATTTATCATTTTTTGGCTGTTTTTCAAGCCTACAGAATTCCATCGAAATGGAAGCCGGCTCGTTCACGATTTTTCTTTACCAGTTCGATCTTACGTACGATAACGAGCAGATTCGCGACGATTGGATTCGTTCCAAGATCGGTTTCCAAGAATCGCCATAACCTGATTCGCCTTCTATGCCCTGTAAGAAACTTTTGAGTTTACGATACCTCTGCTTTCCATCGACGGAGCGGAAAGCCAAACTTTTCAACTTTTAGCAATAAATCGTGTTTTACCTCGACGACATTCGAAATAACTGGAAATGCTCTACGAATCGAAAAGATGATACGCAGGCGAGAATTAGATTAAATCTCACACGATTTTTGCTTAAAACAAGCAACGATTAAGCTTAAACAAAAATGTGATTTGCATCGGCTAATTTTCTTCAATTGTTCAATTTTTATCTTCTTCTTTTTTGTAGGCAATATTTAATATTCTAGATTAAATGCAAGAGTTTATTTTGAATTTAGGTTAATCTTATAATCACTGTAAATTTTATTTCGTGTTATCTTTTCTTTGAATTACGCGTAACTTTTTCCCTTTTCATTGAATATTTCCACGGTGAAGAACATTTTGTGCGTGACATAGTTTACGCTTGCACAGCATAATTAAAGGGATATGAGACTTTTTCAACCGACAAAAGAAGAAGTTTTGTCGCAGTGACGAGTACATTTTGCGTTAATTCTCTCATCCCTGACAGGACGTATGTGTCGCGTACAGTTTCCAGGAAATGTTTTTACTTGTACTTTTTCTTAGTTTCGCCGTAATTAACTTTACTCTCATTTTTTCTTTAATTTTAATAACCACCCATTCTGTTTAATGAACTTTGCGCTGTTTACATTTTTATCTTTTAAATTTTACATCATTTTATATCAATTCCATATTTAAAATGAAGAAACATAACATAGTCGTAAGAAGACTATTTTTTAATTAATAGAAACATTAAAAAAATTCTAATTTACATACGTTTCGTATATTTGTCCATATTATATGCGCTTTGCTTTAATTTTTATATACTTTCCTATTTGTAACATTTCCACAAAAATGTATGCAAATTAATTCGTTAATACCTTGCTGAAGAAAAATATTGCACCGTGTAGCATCGCCAAGTTAATTTGCAGTGGAAATAAATTGGCCGGATGTGATGTTTAACTCTTCGTGGAAGGGTTAAAGCATCAAAAATGAAGGGTTGCAGTTTAATCAGAGTTCAGAGTTTGGAGCGCGGACAGTGGACATCGTGCATCGCAAATATGTTCAAAGTGAACAGCCAACTTTATAATTAGTAAATGTCTTTCGAGATAAGCGATCGATGAAAGGAATAAAAGTTGAATAAGCGAGCATGGGGATGAGGGAATGAGAGGGCTGATGTGTAACAACGAAGCACAATTAACACGGATATTTCAGTTTTTCGAATCGAACGCTTTCAACGTCGATGTCCGCCTCGATTTTCATCCTATTTTCGATAGCACCGATAACAAACAAGCAATTATCCTACGTTGAAAGAGCCGATCAGGAAATATCTGAACCGTAGCGTTATTTTAAAAAATTCATCACCGCAAACAAGTAGCTTTCTTTTATCTTTCAATTCCGATAGGAAGGTTTATTGAATACTAACATTTATTTATTTATTATATAAAGTAAGGATTAACACCGGTGCTAATTTTATATAGCTATATACCAGAGTACATTTAATTCGATCTCATAGCAACAAATTCATCTTTTTTAACGCTAGAACTACCACACCAGTCAAATTGACTGGTTTTACAACTTTATTTTAAAATTCCTACTTCATGTTATATTTTTTTTTCCCACAAGGGTGTAATGACTTTCGCAACGATAACTAAAACAACAACAATATAATGAATTTTATTTTGCTTTTTATGTATTTAAACTGAAAATAATTTTGTATCAAGGCTACTTATACCAATACCAATCAAAATGACTGGTACTTGACCAAATGTAAAAGTGTCCTGCAATCTGTTTATCGAACCCCGGTTAACCAGTTTCCTCGTTTTGTACAACTTCGCACACGTTTTTCAAATTTTTACTGCGTATCATTCGATACGACGATATCAGTTATCAGGAAAATTCCACTAGAAATACCACAGCAGTTAAAATGACCGGTTCTACAATTTTACATAACATGGAATTTCTTCTGTGAGAAAGTAATAAATCAATAAATACAAGAATATTCTATTATTACGTATTTTTTAAAGACCAGTCATTTTGACTGGCCTTGGTAGAAATAGCTTCGTGTTAACGATCGGTAGTTTTAGTGTTAAACAAATAGGTACCTCGTACAGGTATATACAGTGTGTACGAAATTTTAACGACCAAACTTCTCTCGTTTAGAATTCATTCATCGGAGAATAATTTTTAGTGGGATATTTATCACAGATAATTACGGTGCGATGTTAATTTCGTGGCAATTTCTGAGTCAGTAGAATGTTGAAACTTGGAGCAACTGAATTTTGGAAATTCGCTGAATTTGGATATCTTCGAAATTTCATTCGGCTGTGTCTCGAAATCCCTTCAAGCCGCTGACACGTCTGCACGTCTAACTTTCGCATATCTTGGAGACTTTGACAGGAACTTTGAAGTTTTGCAAAGTTGAAAAGTCCGCGTGTTAATTCAGAAGCTGAGAACTCGTTAAGGCTGAGCCGCTCGATTATCGAAACTTCACTCCATAACGAAAGCTAATTCGAACCCATTTTAGAATTTTAGCTTCTTTTCGAAATTGTTTCGGACAACTTGTTTGTTCCAATTTATGCTTGAAATTCTTGTAGAAAATTGGATGAAAAGCAAAGAGGTAAAATATTGTAGTCATACAGTTCCAATCGACTTTTCTCATTAGGATGTTACAAATTAAAAATAGATATCTTTTTACAATTTCAATTGCCTCATTTTCATTCGAGTATCGTAATTAAAAATACAAATAGCAAAATGAAAATAGATAAATAAGTAAGGACAAAAACAGAGTATTACAAATACTATAATTTTTCAGTTCCAATTAATTTTCCTTTGATAGAATATTATGAATAGAAATGCGGATATAGTGTTAAAAAATATTGTATTTTTTTTTGCAGCGTACAATATATGGGGCGACGTTCCTGCGCGAAAATGTCGACCACCGAAGATCGGCGACATCCCAAAGTGAGTACTCTGGTTTTTTCCAAAAAAAAAAATCCCAAAAAACTCCATCTCTCGTTTTTTAAACTAAACATAAGAAGAAAAACGCAGATTTTCAATTATAAAAATGAATTCTCAGTGTAACTAGCATTTACAAATTCTCATTCCAACTAATATTTCGAATAAAAATTCGCGATACAAATAGCAATACGGTAATCGCTATTTTAAGCAAATATTCTCTTTCAACGAGAAAACACAGAACTGAAATTGAAATTGCGCGTCGATTTCCGAATCCTTTGGGCGTACAAACTGTCGATTCGTCTACAAATCGTTTAAAGATCGGATCGAAGTCCGATAAATTCGGAAAACCAGTTCTACGTTACCTGGATATCTGATTTCTCTCCTACACCTACACCGACGATTTATTTTTCGCTCAACGAGAATTATCGACGTTGATCCCAGAAAAAGCATGCAGTCTTCGCGTATCACGATATGTCACTGGAAATCAAGATCGCAACTCGGCTTTTAGCTTTTGAAAAGCGTTGAGCGTATTACTTGAATGATTATTAAAACGTACATCTTTTACTACAATTATTATCACGATATTGATAGTTATTTTTCTGTAATACACGCGTTTGGAGATTTCATTTTCTCTATTAACTTTTATTTAAATTTAAAATCAAAAGAAGCTTAAAATTTCTATTGGGTTGGCAACTAAGCGATTGCTGATTTTGTCAATACCATCTAATGACAAAATCCGCGATCGCCTAGTTGCCAAGCCAATAGTTCGTTTAGATTTTGAACGTTATTAACACTTTGACTGCCACGCCGAAGTCACATGTTTCGCTCAGAACGCCACGGGAGTATTTTTATTATTCAAAGCATACAATGGAAAAATAATAATAAATTGATGATCTAAGACGACATTCTTCCCCAATGGACCGTTTATCTTATTGATGATCACGGGTGACCAACGTGGCGTCTTGCTAACAGTTGATAGCGACGTATTATAACAAGGTTTCGTTTATTTCAACAAACCATTCGCATTCGCTATTTCGTCGTAAGCAAAACGTGCAGAATATATTGTTGAAACGGGTAGAAGATGTTAGTAAACGGTATCTGCTCATTGTATATGAATAGTAAGGTATGTGCACACTTCTAACTTCAATTGTATGATTATAAAGCAGCATTTACGATTATTTTCTGAGGTGTGTTTATAATAATTTTCGTAGATTACCCCTCAAAGATGTGGATGCAAACACAGTGCACAGTTAGATGCAAGATTTGTTCTCATTTTTTTTTATTGATATTCTAATAAAAATGTTTAATTGTTCAATGGGGCACTTTTTATTTCAAAGTGTCTTCTATTTATCGATTATATTCAAAATGCCCTAACTGTCAATTTTCATACAATTTTTACAATCGTAAGAACGTGGTAGACAAAATGTTAATAGGATAAACGAGTTCAACTTTTTATTAGCTCATAATTGCTTCTTTTTCATCAACATGTTTCAACAACATGTTTCCAAACATGTACAACATGTTTCTAAAGATCACTCAATCAAGTTTCACATCAAGTATTAAACAGTTTGTTCTACATCAGATTTATTTATTACGTAGATAAAATATTCCAGCGAAATGAATTTAGTCGGTTTATTCGGTTAATTCGGTTCTATAATATCACGCGTGATATTATCATGCGAATAAGATATTCGACCACGATAAATTTATTCGTGTAATTATCTTAGACAAACGTTTACTGAAAACAATTCGAATAATGTTGAACTCTGGTTCAGGTAAATGCAGTTCTACCGTGTAATCGAATCACAGTCAGCAATCTGCCTTCCATTCACAAATTTCGCTTCCATTAACATTGACCTTCGTGCGGCTGTGGAACGACGACACGAAAAAAGGCGACACTGAGAGTCAAGGAGCCACATAGCCTAATCTACCATAATGCATCTCGACATGCAAATAGATATTTTTAACCTTGTCTCGAAAGCGATCGATAGCCACGAAGGCGGCACGAAACTCGTCTAAATAATTGCTCCACCCCGATGCCACGTCAGCCGCAGAAACGCTTCTGTTCTTTCACGATTGCATCGAAGATTCCGATATTCTTCTCTTCTTATACCGATGGAACGACTTTCTTTTCCCCTTCGTTCGTCGACGATAGGAAGCTCCGTAGGTGACTGCTTTCTTCTACGACTTTCCCTCAACCGAACCTGTCGTACTTTTTTGCCACCCCCGTTGCACGATCAGCGGCGTTTAAACTGGTCGTTTTCGATCCACTACGATTCGTTGTTCGATGGAAAATTCTGAATTATTGCTTGGACGAGTGTAGAAAAATTATTTCAAGTGGATAAAGAGTCTAAATCTGGAATTTTCGATAATTTATTTTGTTATGTTTTCGTTCTTCGTCGAGAATGATTGTTATTAATATATTAGTTTGTCTTTATAGAAACGATGCATCTTTATAGAAACACGAAACCAAAGCTGTCGAACGTTGTGATCTTTATTTTGATAAAACAAAATGAGTCATACGTAATTCGATAAAATAATATAAAACGGAAAATGTGCATCCATTATTTTCTTATGAAACGAAAGAAACTTTTTGGAGGACCTAATACTCGTGGAAATAAAGTCTGGGACAAACGTGTTTATACGCAGACTACAAACGTCTGTGGCAATTTACATTTTGATGGATATCAATCTATCACTGGTTTCCTAGAAGAATCACACAAATTGGTAAAGTCAATTTTTAAGCAAATTTCTGAAAAATGGGGAATTGTTAATAATTCCACCATTTAGCATAAAGTTTTCTTTCTTCCATAATTTAAGCGATAGCCTGTAGGTTTCGAGGGTCTTCGATAAAACTCTAGAATTAATTTCCTCGTATAATTATTTCACCCAATTAATTCGTATAATTTTCTCATACAACAGGCAGAATTTCCTTCGAGTTTTCCATGAAATCAAAGGTAACAGTTGTCCGTGATAAATGTTCAAATACTTTCGCTAGCCAGTGCATTTACCGACTATACATAGCGGAAGCGCAATTTGTAAGAAAACCTGGAAATCGTTATTCAACGACCGTTTCCGGCAGCGACGAGGCATGAAACACGCGGTGAAAGCTGAAGGATCGATAATTCGGCGTCTCGCGATGCATCGCGTAGCTACGGCGAAATCATTTATAAGCATTGCTGCTTCTTGCGAGCGCGCGCCTTCGAACGCTGAATTATGAAATGTTCGACGATACGCGACGCTCTGAATCATCGTTTCGTAAATGCGATGCATCACAGTTCACCAATTCCACGTTCGAACGTTCACGCGGTGAATCCATCGAGAGAAGAAGGGAGTTTTTATTGGAAAATTGTCGGAAGAAGTAAGCCAATTATCACCTCGCAACGATTAAATGTTATCTCGCGTTTCACGCGATTAGAACATTCACGCGATTGGGCAAATTTGTCAAAATTCTACCATCGAGCGACTGCTCGCGATACGAACCGGGTTGCCGTGCGTGGGGCGTGTTTATGGGGTTTGTTTCGTGTATCGATTTCAGGGTGTTGCGGAGAAATCGAAGCTTTAGGCGAAGCTTGGTTGCCTTTAGTATACTACCCATGCTCTTTCGCTTCAGGAATTTTTCTTTCATGTTTCTTCTATTTCTAGTACAATAGTATTACCTGCGGTTTCTTTGGCTTAAGGAATTTTCTTTAGAGCTTCTCGTATTTATAGCGTACGCGTGGCCTTATCGTGGTAGAAATTTCTCTTTCAGTTTTCCTGTATTTTCTTTAATAGGTTAATTCCAGGAATTTATATGCCGTAATCGGAACCTTGGAATAATTTTAATCGAATTAGCGAATACTGTTTCTGATAAGCGTATCGAGCAAGTCTTAAATTGAAAAATTAGTCGAGATCTGACGTTTGAAGGATAAAAATCAAATAGATAAATAAAAATTGAATATTTATATGTTAGATACTAAATAGATAGTGTAAGATACTAAAGACACCAAATAATGGTAACACAGTAGTAACGAGAACAGTTCAACGACAGAGATACTAAAGATAATAAGGATAATACGGAGTGGCAATAAAGTAACGAAATGACGCCAGTAAAGATAACAAAAGCTACGAAAGATAATTCAGCTAATAAAAATGCGTACTATGGACGATAAAATTGTCTTAAAAATCTTTCGAAATTTTTCATCCGTAAATGAGCCAATTTCTCTAGAATAGAACTCGCCATACCTAGTTGCGAATCAGTAAACTGCTCAAGGTCGCTTCTCACCGTCAAATCCAATACGATAAAAGTACAAAGAATCGGGAGTAATTAATTTTGTTCGGTATTATTTTCACCAGAGGAAACGAATAAAAATATTAATGGCGAACGCACAAAGATATTTCTTCGTTTAACCTGCTTTTTATCGCTGTTTTCGCTGCTAGCTAAGCGATTGTATATTCCATTTCTGTCTCAAGGATTTCCTTCTTCCTCGTACGTCCATATAATGTAACCTCGACAGAGATAATAACACGTTGTTACGCGATTGTGCACGGTTATCGAAGTTAGTCTGGTTGCGATGGTTTTAATCAGGAAACGAACAGCAACCGGAAGGGACAAATGAAAGGGAGAAGGAGATACGCGCAGCTTAACCCCGTATACGTTTCGTGTGTCTTTTTCCTTCTTTCCAATTTCCCTTTTTTCCTCTTTTCTCGCGTGGTTTTCCATTACTCCTGACCTTTTTATTTTTGCAGCCATTTACTTCTTTCTATGTGTTTCATTTGTCCCTTGATTGCACCGTTGTAATAGGTTGCAGGAACTTTTTAAGGTTCTCAGTTTATCGTGAGTTGTCAAGCTCGCGCGTATTTCTTAAATTTTCTAGAACTTCCGTTCTGTCGATTCGCAAACTTTCGTTTGTGTCGATGGATTTTGAAACTCCTCTACTTTTATCTTTGCGAGTTCTACGTTCAATTATAAACTATCTGTACTTGACAGTTTCATGGATTTTCCTGGAATCTCCAGCTTCCTT